TTTCTTGGTATCCGCGGTGGAAATATTGAGGGCTTTGACAGCAACCAATTTCTATATTAAGGTTATGCAATAATGCTTCATTGTGGTCACATATATATTGGTATGTTAATATGTTAGAAAAAAAAATACGATCACCACATATCACATAAGCAGTGTGCATATTAACATGTGTCAACTGTGGATAAGTGAGCATTATCCTACATAGATATATAAAATTGAACTTTTAAAGTAGCTCAAAATTGAACTTACATTATTCTCAAAATCTATATCAAACCAACCTTTATTGTCATAATTGACATGATTTTGGGCGGGATTTTTTTTTTGTCTATAGATGACATTTAATTAATATTTATTTATTAGCAAATCTTATAAATGAAAAACGTAATTAATTTTCATACACTCAATGACTATTACTCATGTTGATATCCTTCTCGGTAATTTCAGTACAAAAGCCATGACGTCGCTAATCCAGCCGTTTCTAAGTAAGTACACCTCGGATTTTGTGAGGGAATGACCGACATCACTCTCCAACAACAAGGCATGGAAACGACAAATTTCCGATATCAATTGAGGTCATCTTAACAGTAGAAGTCACGCCGACCGAGGTCCATTATCGAGGTCCAAGAAGGTTGGCTTTCTATGAATTATAAGGCGGCTGTTCTTCATCAAGATATCATTATTGTTGCCTAGCTGGCAGACAACCGTCTCTATAACCTTGCTTTAAAAGCAGTCACACCTACCTCGTACGACGGGTCAACTGCGCTATAAATAGTGAGATTGATCAAGAATAAAGGGACTTTTCTTTCCAAAAAAACAGATAGAAAAATACGAAAAATTCCGACAATTGTAAAATCGTTGTTAATTCTCGCACAACATTGACTTAAATTTAAATTTTGATCGTAGATTTATTAGATATATTTTCAGTAAGAATTAGATATATTTTGACCGTAGATTTGTTAGATATATTATCACCTATGGTTGTAGGAATTAATTTAATTAATTATATTTACTATTCATAAGTAATTAAAATATTTAATAAAATAATCAGAATAATTATGTTTAAATCATACTAACTTAGTAAATAATTTAAAATAATGAAAATATTTTATGAAATGTAGTAATTTAACTATAAAAAGGTATATACTCATTGAATATATTTTACGCAGTGATAATACTATTAAAAATTTAAATAATATACTATTAGAAATAAAATTTGATGGTCGGACGTAATTCAGAATTATAAATTTCACCTTAGAATCTATACACATTAAAAACTATTAAATTTTTTAAAATATATACTTCTTATATACTATTTTATAAATAAAAATATGTTTATAGAATAGCAATGTATAGTAATTAAATTATAGTGGTTGGTAATTGTGAAAATATATAATATATATAAATATTCAAATAGATATTATGTAAATCATTATATAGGTTGAAAGAATGAATTAAAAAAATAAATATAAATAAAAAATGAAAACAGAAAATAAAATATTAATCATAAAGAAATTATGTGTTACATAAGGATTAAAGTTACTAAAATTAAAATTTATTCACCAAAGTGTTTAACCATGCACTTAACAATTATAGCTGCAGGTAAATATTATGGGTTAAACGTTGGTAAATTATCAAGCAATAGGCAAATTATGAATTGTTGAAAAATTATAAGACTATGATGAACGATAATTTTATAAGTACATACAAGTAACTTGTATGTCAATATTATATTATATTATACATTTATATTATTTTATAAACTTATAAACAATAGATTTCATATATTAAATAGTCAAACTACAAAAAAATATAAAAATATAAATTAACAATAATTGTCATATTATTACTAAATAGAATATTGTGGAGAATATAATTTCATATGGTCATATATATAAGTTCATAATATTCAAATTTTTTGTGTTATACCCCATGCATCGCACAAGTATCAACACTAGTTGAATAAGAAATACACGAGTCTTTAAATAATTTTCTCAAAGATCCACATATCCTCAACTAATATTTGACACTGTACATTTATATAGATATAAATAAAGTATTATAAATTATTTGTATGCATATATATTAAAATTATAAGTTAGATAATGATATTAAATTTTAAACACAGAGTATTATATATATGCATAAAATATTAAAATTATAAGTTAGGTACTGGTATTATGTTTTAAAATTTGATCATTGGTTAAAATAAATAGTAGATAATGATTTCATTGTAGATGAATCACTATATTGATTGCATAAAATGTAATAAATAACGTATATATTTTGTAGTTCTGAGGGAGTATGACCAATTAATTAGCTGGAAAATATTAAACTTATTATAAAAATTTCTTATGTGCTTTTAAGAAATTTTACTATGACATTAAGATAAATTAATTTATTTGAATAACAATTGTTTAATCAAATAAAAATATAATATTGATTTCAAAATAAATAATTTGAAGACAAAGTTTTTTATAATATAATTTTTTATGTTTATGTAACTTTCATATATTATTTTGTGTAAAATATAATTATTAATTTAAAAAAATTATATGATATAATAAAAAATAAATATAATATGTAACGAATTTTGTCTTAATTAACTAAAAAAAAGTGCAAGACTTTTTTTTATCATTAATGAGATAATAATAATAATAATAATAATAATAATAATAATAATAATAATAATAATAATAATAATAATAATAATAATAATAATAATATAGTGTAACGATTTTTGCGTTAAGAAAGTTACCAAATTGCCCTCCTACTTAGTTACACATCAATACACCATCATGTTCTTTATTTTTTCTCTCTCCTCTCTATCATTTATTAAGACTAAAGTTTTATGAGGTAAATTTATTAGGTAAAATTAAATAAGTTTTATTTATTAGGTAAAATTTATTGCTTAGCTAGCAATTATATATATATATATATATATATAGATTTTCGCAAACAGTTCGACTCGACAATCGACTTAATTATCGGTTCGGTATAGATGTGATGACCACAAGAGATTACTACTACAAGGTCTTTACATGTGCAGCCGTTTCATGTAAATAATAATGCCAAAAACGTCGAAACCAGAAGCACGAGAATTTCGGCGAGCCCGGGCAACTGACGAGCTATATTCCCTATTTTGGTGGCTGCAATTTTGGTAACATTCTTGTAATTCTCTTGCTGGCCTTTCACGACCTCCACCGGGAACACACACCCCACCGTCGATGGGTCCTCGGTCACGACCCGCCCGAGCCCGTCGAACTTACACGCCTTTTCATCCTGGAAAAACGCCTGAAAATACATGTTGAATGCGTAAGACACGTTCTGCCACCTGTTGAGCCCGCTGCACGACCCCTTCGGATACATGCTCGTGCAGTCTCCCGTTGCGCACGCGAACAAGTACGCCTCCTCCACCCTCCCGTCGTGTTCATCCTCCGTGGGCCCAAGCACGCACCACCGCCGAGGCATCTGTTTGATCCCACGGGCTGGGGCCGGAAACATAACCCGACCTCGGCCCATTAGGTCGACCCGGTACTTGGGCTCGCCGTTAGACCGGTAGATCCCCCAGTGGCGCCCGTACGCAAAGTAGGGGGGGTTCAGGTTCTCATCCGTTAGCGCGTGTATGTAGATGTTGATCGGCTTCCCAGGGAGCTTGGAGGTCCCGCGATCGCTAGCAACGAACGGGAGAAGGGCCTCAAAGAACCGCTCGGCAGTGGCGGCATTGGCGTTGATAAACCCGTCGGTGGGCCACCCGACCTGGGTGACGATGAACTTGATATCCCCGTATCCGAGCTTCTCGAGGGCCCACGCGAACGCGTCGTACGCGACCTCGAACACGTTAGTGTAGACAACATCGCCGACATCGGTTATGGCGTGGGACGAGCGCCCATCAGATATGGCGAAGCTGAGATCGGTGATGTTGAGGACTCGCATGAGCTCGACCAGGAAGAACTCAATGCAAACGGGGGCACCGCTTGCCCGGATGATGTCGAGGTGCCTCACGAATTGGGTCCGGAATGTCTCCCGGATCGTGGCCTCGGACGGCTTCGCAAAGTCATCGAGTATAATGTAAGGGTGTGGAAATGTGGCCTTGATGTGGCCGTAGCCGGCGTTGTTGAGGGCAATTTGGGTGTAATTAAATGCGTCGATCATCCGGCTCTGGAGTACCGTGTCATTCATCGCCATGCCGATTATTTCGGTCCCGACCATGACGCACCTGGACATTTATATTAACAAAAAATGGGAACCAAAATGAGAGAACATACAAATGGAGCTGTAATCGAGTCGAATCAGTCAGTTTAGCCATTTCGAGCTCATGTCCATTTACGTTCGAATGTTGTTCTTGTTTGATCATTTATCTTTTGAGCAAAAATTCATATTCGAGCTTGTTCATTTAATTGTTCGTAAAGTTTGAGCTCGTTTTTTAAATTATTTCGGAAATAAATATTTTAAATATATTTGATTAACTCGAAATATGTTCGTCCAATTATCATACGAGTCTAATTTCTGTTCGAACTCGTCTCGATTAACAAATGAACGAGCTTTTATTCGAGAATCATTCAATTTGTTAACAACCATGTATATAAATAAAAAGAATATTATTGCCACACGTGTCAGCAACTGCGCGTACGTTACATTGGAGGGTCCAAACCAGGGAGACTTTTGACTAACCCAAGCTTGTGCGAGGTCGTAGGTTGCAACCTTCTTCCAGTCGGGAATAGTGATGGTGAGCTCGATGCCGCTCCCGGCAAAGGCCTGCAGTAGGTCTTCCTCAGATGTGTAAACCCTAGCGGCCGGGACGTGGTTTTGCAGGAGAAGGTCGACCACGACAGACGGGATCAGGCGTTGCGCGGTCGAACTGTTGGGTTCGATATACCGTACGGAACAGAGTTTACAGCGGAATTTAAAATT